TACCTACAAGCCACTTTTGTGTTCTTCTGTGCACCCTTTGTAGTACAAATTAATTTTTTATTAATACTAATTTCATATGATTGGTAACTTATTTGTCTTATTCTACTTCTTATTATTTTGGTTTTAATAGAGATTTTAAAAAGCTTATAATCATAAATTTTGAATTTGACAGATGAAAAGGATGCCATTGCAAAGGTAAAAAGAAAATACCCCTGTAAGTCACTTTAAGGAGTCACATGTCACCTCGTATTAGGAAGGCTAATTTTTGATCAGAATTTTTGATTATTGATCAGAAAGTGCTCCTTAATTTTTTTAATTAGGAGGACAAGCGCTCCTGATTACAAGAAGAAAAACACTGCTCTTAAACTGGGTGTGTGACAGGTATGGCTGTGGAATGGGGTTTGGCCGAGGAAAAATTTTCAGTCAAAAGTTTTTTTTTTTTCCTTTAACCCCTGACTACTCTACTACAACAATTATTACAACTTTTGTTTAAAAGAATAATCACACAATACGCTATTTCTTCCATGTTTTAATGTTAATAGTAAACCCTTTGTTTGCCAAAAATAAAGAGTTTAACTCGTTAAAATAAAGAGTTTACTGTGGTAGTACTACACTCAACCAACACCAGGGAAGGCAGTTTTTGTCAGAGCCCTTGTTATTCTTAATTTTGACATTAATTTTCAATTTTACACCAGACATATATATATATCGGTTCAAAATATCGGTTATCGGTCTACTTGATCTGTAAAAATCGGTATCGGCATCGGCCTTGAAAAACACATATCGGTCGACCCCTAGTCTTGACCAGGAACATAAAACATCACAGGTATAATGTTAAAGTTTTTAATGTAACAGCAATTGACATGCACTAGGTTAAATTTGATATTTTTTTTATTATAATCAACAAGGCTGTTTGCACTGAAAATATGTGATGCAACAGTACGCAGCAGCTCCAGCTGAATTAAGTATTGCATTTTATTTATAATTAATGTCTGACACTTGCATCAAAAGCAGCTTGTCATGGCATAAAGACTCATAACCTCTCTAGTCATACAGATAAACATGCCACAAGTGTTATGTTGGAACATAGTCAGTTATGTCATCGCTTTGGCTCTCAAGTCAGTGGAAATTCCATTTGAATGGAAAAGGGGTAACCTACCCACAGTTGGTCTTTCATTCATCCAACTAATCAGCTCTAATGGTTCGCGAATACGCCCAGAGTTTGACTATTAGTCAACCCATTGCTTCAGTTCTCTCCAAACCTGAATGAGCCTGAAGAGGTGATAAGAATGCAGCAAAGCAGGTCAATGTGAAAGCTGGGAGCTCATCAGCTGTCGTACTGACACTGACAATATTGTATTTACAGCCTGTAAATAAAGGTTAGGCCACAGGTCATTGTGTAGAATCAGTATCTGAAGATAAAACAGTTTCTATGGCCTCTTGGTTTGTTCCTGTTCAGGAACCACAGACACCCATTTATCTCATTTTATATGGGCAACTCTGTGTTCCAGCTACAAGTTTGTAAAAGGAAAATAGAGAACTGGGCAGGTAACCGAAAGGTTGCAAGTTCAAAGCCTCAAATTCTACACATTAGGGATGTCAACGATTAATCGATGATCGATTAATTGTCGATAAGAGATGCAATCGATTAAAGCTATCGATGGTCGATGTCACTAAACGGTAATGCCACAATAAGAGCATCGTTCACACGTTTCTACATGGACCTAACTAGCCTAGGCACAGGTTTTCAAGCCCTGGGACAAAATGGGATGCTTTAAGGAAAATGTATAGCCGCGGATTATATCTTACTCCAGAAATTTAGTTTTTGTATGTTTCAGCTGTTCGATCGCACCGGCGCCTCGCGCGCACACACCCCACATATTCTAGCAATTCAAACTTACATCACAGTCTGTTCATTATCAAAATAAAATACAGTCAACCAAACATATAAAAGGTTACACTGGTCAGTTTAAATAGACCGTAGTATACCGGTCCACTCTGCTGTTATGCCAAGGACTTTTTTGCTCATGTGAAGAGGATGATCTCTTCCGTCTATAATGTTTCATGTGAGCAACAGTGTGTTTTGCTGCAGCAGTGCCGATGGAAGTGGTTCACTGACTGCGCAGCACAGCCACACGCGCCACAGTTACGTTTGGGATAATTTTATTTTAAATGCCATAATGTCAGTTGAAAACATTGCAATTGTGTTTTAAAATACAACAACGAGCACCACGAAACCATTTAAAGAGGCGCGTTCAGCGGTCTCCGTGACAGGATAGGAAACAGTGAACAAAGTAAAATTATCTCAAACGAGCTCTCTTCATTTTATCAAATGATCATAATCAAGTCAAGTCAAGTTTATTTGTACATCGCTTTTCAGTAGAGCCCGACCGATATGGGTTTTTTTGGGACCGATACCGATATTAAGGAGTAAAAAAAAAAGGCCGATATCAATATATCGGCCGATATTCTTTGTGTATATTATAGTACAGTACCAGTCAAAAGTTTGGACACTTTCCCATTCGTGTGTCCAAACATGCCGCTCTCCCCTACCTCTGTAAATAAATACAATATAAATTCACGACTTGCGCACTTTAATGCCCTTTGAATGTAACGTGTACGTTCCCTT